GAATTTTCACTACAGATGTCGCTACATCAAGTGAAAAAGTCATTGACTTTGGAAGGAAAAGTGGAGCGTTTTGGCTCAAAAAGGCCTACTTTTTATTCCAAAAGGTTCGTTTCAAAAATGCACTATGTCGGAAGATATGCGATAGTTGACGTCGAACTATTCAGTGAACGATTCCTGGGTGTGTTCGGATTTCATCAATTTGGGATAAAAAGTCTCTGAAATGGCTTTAGGCGAAAAAATTATTGACTTTGAGAGAAAAAGTGAGGAGGCTTTGGCACAAAAAGATATACTTGATCGCGTTGCTTCTTCCAGATGTTCATGCATATTAAGCTCATAATCACCGCGGAATCGCTATCAAGTTGTGCTCAGAATTTGGTCGAAGAAGAAATGATTTTTGAAAGCAAAAACATTGCTTAGTATTTTTTTTCTAACCTGACGAAATCTGTGGTTTTCAATATTCAAACCGTCTCTATATTCTCATGAGCAGCGCCTGTCCAACCGCCGGTGCAGCCAGTGCAACGCACCGAGGCGCGAGCGCACCAAGGGCGCGCGAGCGCAAAAATTGGTATATTGAAGCGAGCGCGCCAAAGGCGCGCGAGAATAAAAATTCTCAAATTTAATTAATGCGAGCGCGCCGAAGGCGCGCGAGTGTTCTATTTCTATGTATTTAAACACATAACGACCAATTTTTACTGACGATTACATTTAAAAAACCGCAAGATGAGTTTTAAAGAGCGCTAAAAGTGTTTAAATATACTTGTCAATCATTTGAATGAGCGCCGATATTGTACTGTTTACATTTTGAAATTTGAAAAAGGCGCTAGAAATATATGCAAAATGTGAATATCAGTCCAAGAGAAGCGCACCAAAACACAAACGGTGGACACCTTTTTTCACATTGTAATTGCAATGACAAAAGAAAGAGATGAAAACATAAATTTATTGTTTACGAAAATCGAATAGAATGGACAACAAGAGATGTCGTGTATTCGGATGTTACGAACAAGAGCGTACAACGTACACTGTGCGCTGTGTGTGTATTGTTTACAAACGGATCTAACGGTGAATTGTAATAAAAAAAACACTGTGTCCACAGCTTCAGTACACGGCTAACTTGTTCAAATGTATCGTTTTACGGTATGTGTTTGAGAATCAAGCGACTCAGCGTTATGAAGTTAGAGAGAGTTTCATTGAATTCTTGGAAATGCACGAAAAAACTGGACTTGGGATCAAAGAAATGGCAATCAATGAATTGGAATCACTTGGATTAGATCCCGAAAACTTGAGAGGTCAAGGCTATGATAATGGCGCGAACATGAAAGGGAAAAACATCGGCGTGCAGAACCTAATTCTGGAAAAATACCCAAGAGCATTTTTTGTACCATGTTCAAACCACTCACTAAATCTTGTTGTGAATGAAGCTGCTGCTGCATCGGGGGCAACCGTTAGTTTTTTTTCTTTGGTCGAAGAAATTTATAAATTTCTTTCAGGTTCTTCGAATCGGTGGGATATTATGAAAAGCCATATCACGACAGCTTCCACGTTAGCTCCGAAAAACCTTTGTACAACTCGATGGTCCAGTCGAATCGCTGCAATGAAACCACTTCGGCTGAATCTTGGCAAAATAATCGCTGCATTGGATGAAATTAAGAATTCAACCGCTTTCAAGGATAAAGTTCGTTATGAAGCTGGAGCAATTATCGACAAAATTGATTATCCGTTTGTGTGTGCAGTATGTATGTGGTACGATGTTTTAAGTCACGTTAACATTGCTTCGAAAGCCCTGCAATCAATTGATTCGGATTTGCAAGCCGCTGTACTTTGTTTGAGTAGTACTAAATTTTTTTTGGAAGAATACAGATCAACTGGACCTGAAAAAGTTTTTAGTGAAGCAACAGAAATCTGTGAGAGTATGGAAATCGAGGTCGTTTTTACAAACAGTCGCAAGCGTGTTGCTGTTGGACGTGAAATAAATTCGGAAGAAAGCTTCCAAAATGATTTCATTGATGTTGTCTTGAACGTAGCAATCAATGCAGTAGAGGAGCGATTCGTTGCATTAGAGAAGCACAATTCAACATTCTCCTTTCTCTACAAATTTGACGATTTTGATCAAAATAGAAGAAATGGAAATTTGCTCAAGTCGTGCAAACAGCTTCAAGTAACGCTTTCAAAGGGAGAAGAATGTGATATTGATGTTGACGAATTGATTTCAGAGATGACGGTTGTGGCGGAATTGGTAAAGCATCGTCATTTGGTTAGAGTCATCGATATACTCAACGGGATCAAGAGCAGCGGTATGGAAAATCTTGTCCCCAACGCCGTTATTGCTTACAGGATATTTTTGACAAGTCCTGTGTCAGTTGCAACCGCTGAGAGGACTTTTTCTAAGCTGAAAATAACTAAAAACTACCTGCGCAATTCGATGTCACAAGACCGTTTAAATGGCTTAGCTACAATATCAATTGAGCATGAAATTGCTGATTCAATTCAATATGAGGATATCATCGACGAATTTGCCGCTTCCAAAGCCCGGAAAGTTTCCTTTTACTGATCAGTTACGAAAATTCGCAATATTTAATAATGAGCATTAAATGTTATATCACGCAATAAAAATTATTTACAAATCGAATGTAAAACATTCATGAATAAATACTGTTTTCGCTACAAAAAGATACGATTTAAAATTTAAATTAATCATTGTCAAAAAAATTGAGTCATGAAATTTCAGGGGCGCATGAATAAAACTTGCACCGGAGCGCCGTGAGCGCTCGGACAGGCGCTGCGTCATGAGTGCGTCCCGAAATATGTCAAATAAGTTTGGCATTACAGATATTAACAAACAATTGAATCACACCTTATTGTTTTCACTAATTCAATATTTTCGATTCATTTAAAACAAAAGAATTTGAAAAGAGTACCTTGAATGCATTTCGGTACTATCGCACCATCATCAGCATCACGACTAAACAGAAAAGTCGTCGGTTGTCACGTAAAAACATCGGTCGATGCAGCATCATAGCAAACGAGACAGCAAATTTGACTCGATGTTCCCGTTATCCAGATTCAATGCGTTGTTGCTCCTCTGAATAAAGTAACTTTCGTATGCGTCTAATTTGTGCGCGTCGCCTATCTCTTTCACCAGCCGTAAGTTGCTTATGTCGATATTCAAATGACCGCTGTTCAATGCATGTAATGCTAAGGCAGAGCGGTAGCCCTGTTTGTTTTTTATGCACAAACAATGTTCACTGCCACCTTTTGAGAGTTTTTCAGTCAGAAACTCAATTGACTTCGCTGAAAAAATTGAAAATGTTGTTGTGAATTGTGATGAGACTAAAATTTCATTTGATGTGTGTTCTTTATTTCCAAGTATTCCAATTGATGTTGCATTGAAGGAATTTGAAAAATATTTAGAGCAAATTGATATTCCATTCGAACAAAAATCAGTTTATTACCAAGCAGCACGTATGTGTATGGATCATAGTTATTTTCAATTTCGTGATTCGTTTTATCATGTGTCGACTGGAACTAACATGGGAAATCCGCTTAGCCCATTGATTAGTGAGTTATTCATGTCGGCATTCGAACGAAAATTAAAACAAGAAAACTTGCTCCCCAGAATCTGGTGGAGATATGTAGACGATGTGTTCGCGATAATAAAGAAAGACGAAATTGACTCAGTGTTAAACGTGCTCAACAATCGATTCGATTCGATTCGATTAAATTTACGTGTGAGTGGGAGAATGATAAGTGTAAATTATCGTTTTTGGACATGGAATTGTCAACTTCTGTGGACAATAAAATTGATATTGCCATTTACCACAAACCCACTGACACTTTGAGAACAATAACTAGTGATTCAAACTGTAGCATGCAACACAAATTGGCTGCGTATCATTCAATGGTTCATCGATTGTGTCGAATGAAACTCTCAGCACAAAATTACATGACTGAATACGCTCGCATAAAACAAATGGCGAAAATAAATGGCTTCAAAGGAGATTTGGTCGACGTGTTGATAAAAAAACATTTAGACAAAATAAACAAATTTAATTTATCGACATTGTTTTCGCAAAACACGCCAGAAGTGGAAAAAGTTAGAGTTGCTTTGCCATATATCCCACAAATTATGAACAAGATAAAAAATAAGTTTCGTGAATATAATTTAACCATTGTGTATACGAATCAAACCAAAATAATGAATTTGTTGGGTTCAACCAAAGACACAATTGATTCTTTACACAAATCTGGCATTTATGCTATTCAGTGCCCCGTTTGTATGTGTGAATACATTGGACAAACGAAACGTAACATTTCAGTTCGTTTCCGTGAACATTGTTTGTGCATAAAAAACAAACAGGGCTACCGCTCTGCCTTAGCATTGCATGCATTGAACAGCGGTCATTTGAACATCGACATAAGCAACTTACGGTTGGTGAAAGAGATAGGCGACGCGCGCAAATTAGACACACACGGAAAAACCCTTCAAATTGTATAAAGAAATACGTCTAATATATGCCGTTAGTAGGTTTCCTTCCAATATTCCCATGTATTGACAGGAATCCTACCAAACAACACATATACGCACATACAGTCATTGGCGCATACACAAACGTCATAGATGACTTGATTTGTTTGACAGTAGCACAAAACAAAAAAAACAGTTGTGTTATTTCGTGTGCTTAAAATATGTAAAAAGTTAGATATTAGAATAAATAGACGTGCAATATGGACGACGAAATTCCCTTTTTTGTTCGAACCACATTTCGGAGTGAATCAGCTATGATTTCTTTGGACCGAAATTCTGTGTCATTCCAAAGTTTCAAAGAAGAGTGTAAGTGTCAACAGAAACACATTTTTTTTCCTATTTGAAAAATACATTCAATTGGTTTAATACATTCATTTAGTTATACGGAAGTTCAACATCAATATTGCTGATGGTTCGAATTTACGATTCAAGTTGACTGATCATAAAGGCACCCCAATTCCAATATCTGATTTTGTTGGTATCGTGAAAACCTTTCACAAAAGTGATTTCAGCTTGGTCGTGGAATATGAATCAACAACACAAAGTCGAGATGTCAAAATCATCACTCCACTGGTTTGCATTCTGATTGCCATTTATTTTATTTTTAAGATTTAAAAAAACTTTTGAATTTATATTTTAGATGCTCGAGAGCTACTTTTGGGCAAAAAATGCCGAAAAATTGCTTGTAAAAGATTCAAAATTGTCTTTCAATCAAAGAACAAGTATCGTGAACACAATAGTGGATTATATGATTGAAACGTTTGGTGTTGAAGTGTCTTCCGTTCAAAAGATATTAGTTGCAGCAGCAACCATTGTTCTGTTTCCTGGTTTGAAGTTTGCTCTCGGTGATGGAACTGTGAGTAAATAAACACTTGGTAGCAAGTCCTCAATGAATTATGAATGAGCTAGTGGCTTACTATTGACATTACTTTAATAAATTGGTTGTCATTATTTCAATTTTTTTAATAGGAGTTGCTACTTGGTGAATTTGGATGGTTTACCAAACGCCTAAATTATGTGCGAACTTGCCGAAAAAATATTCAAGCTCAATCACGTACCGTGAATGATGATTTGAACGACATCCAAGATTCAATGCAAAATATTATGGTTGACCCACAGCGTGATTACGAGTCATTGAGAATGGAACCAATTGATTTGAATAATCGGGACATGTTGATACGAAAATTGAATTCGACAAGAGAATTGCGCAAAGTGCTGTTGAACGCTAGAGAAACCGACTTGCGTGAACAATTTCCATTCTTTCTCGTGAAACCTCAAATGGTGAGTGTGATCATACAATCAACGTGACGTCAAACATGTAAACATATATTTTTATCCGTAGCTACTATGGGACTACGAGGAACATTTCAAGGAAGACGCACACGATACGTTTTTGAAGGATTGGCCCAAATATGGATGTGCTCTGCGATCATATTGCAATTCAGTGTATGAAACAGAAAAACACACACAATGGCCCGCACAAATTGAAAGCATTTTACTCCTGTTGAAAGTGCTTCCACCGCCTAAACCCAGGGGCAGAGGAAAAGTGAAACCATATTTGCAACTACTGGACAAAATGATCGTGTTTGATGTGGCGGGAACAGCACCAGCAGCAATGCTAAGAAAAGATAATGACCATCCTTATATTATTGCTTACGGCTTGTCAATGGAAGAAATTTTGACATATTATGTTGAAATCGAAAAGCACTTGTTTCCGGTGAGTCCAAATTAAAAAAGTATGTTCGAAAAATGCTGAAAAATGTCATATTTTTATAGATGCCCGATGATTGGTCGTTTTATCAAGTTCTTGATTTTTTTTTCAAAGCGCACAAAATTTTCAATCTTAAATTCGATCCGATCTTGGAAAATGCAATGGTTTTCATTCAGTCTTATTTTTATGGCGTTTCTGATGGTTCAAAGAAACCCACACAGGCCATGAAAGAGCTTATACACAATTTGAAAGCCGATGTCGATAACTTGCACGGAAATTGATTACCAAACGTGATTCAACGAAAACCAAAGTACAATCGAATATGGAATCATTATATTGATAGTGACTAGAGATTCCATTATGGTGATATTATTAATATAAACGATTTAACTAATTTAGTCCTAAGACTATTTACCTATTAAAACAATCTACAATAAAGTATTCAGAATATACCGTGATTTACCTATAGTCGAAGCCCCACTAAAATGTTTTGTGAAGGCTTGTCGATCTCGTCAATTTAAGTCTTAAAATTTCTACAGATTATTTAAATAAAAACACAATGAATAAATCTTGGGGTTTTTATTTGTTTTTCTCTTTGAACTGAGTAAAAATTTGACATGAACAAACGTTGACATTTTGACACTAATTTCAATTAATTGATCCAAAGAGATGCAGTCAATTAAGTATATACTGATTTCAAATCAAGAGTCTCTAAAATTATGTATATTTTACTATTTAGTTTTTTTGATTCGTAAGCATTTTTTTTCTTTAATGAATTAAACTTGAAGAGAGCAAAAGAAGCTGGATTGCTTTTTTTAATTTCAATACTATTCAGAAACTTATCATATCTAATACAATCGAATCGATTACAAAAAAAATAGTACGCAGAGGAACATAACAAAACCTTTTCTATTTCATACAAAGAATTTTCTGCAAATATGAATAAACCTTGTTTATAAATGAAGCTGTTGCAAGACAAAAATTGTGATTCTAGCAAAAGTTGTTCACTGTAACAAATATTGTTCATTTCAAACAAATTTATGTGGTCATCAAAGAATTGTTGTTCGACTTTTTTGACTCTTTTTCCATGGTCCAATTTATCTGTGAATATGTTCTCAGTAATACACATACGTTGTTGGTGACGTTCCGAGATAGTTTTTGTGATATTGATGAAGTTTTGACTTTGATTTGCGTATTCCTTGAGAACTTTATGTTTCCCTTCAAAACGTAACATCGACATAGCTTTAATTGGCCCCATAGCTCTAATAACACGTGCGTAATGCGTCATGAAATGATGTTTAGGGATTAGGCGCGTTTTGAAGTGTTGTTGAATGTATTTCAAGTGAATTTCAGTCCAATTTTCTAAACTTTGTAGGTCACTCTAATCGATTGTTGTCGAGTAAACGATTTGCACGATATGAAGTAAACTTTCAATACAAATCCAAATAGTTTTGATTGTTTTTTCTTCTTTTTCCGGATAAAAAATATATGGCATGTGGTATAATAAGCAAAGCATTTGCATAGCATTTTGACCGAGCGCTCGTTTTTTTAGTCCAATAGTTGATGGAATATTACTTCTATTTAGCTGACCATAGTCAAAGTTCATGATCTTGTCATTTATTTGTTTCTCAGAAAATATTTTTTCATCGATTAGCAACTCAAACATGCGCGTTAAAGCAAACGGCGCGGTGCCTTCATTAATATCGTGCATAATGTCTGGGACCACTGAATCGATAATATTGAAATACTTCAAATCGTTGAGTACACAGTATCGCAGAACTCCTTTTGTTTCTTTTAAATTTGCTTTAGTTGACTCGTTTATTTTTTTAATCAGCTCATTGTACTGCTGGAGAGTTCGATTTTTCGAAGGGATTTCCTCACATAGAGTTCTTATTTCGGATAAAGTACAATTACAAAAACGACAGCAATGTTCAGTTTTACTGAAGTTTTTAACAAAACCAAGAGCCGTGTTTTGTCCGAGATTGTCCGATGCTACAAAGGTTACAGTCCCTCTTATTATTTCACCACCAATATCAATTCCATGTTCGATATATGAAATATCGCTGACAATTGGGCGCCATACATCATTGAAATCTGTATACTTTGTCTGCATATCATTTGAATAACTTAATGAAGCTAGTGAAATTGAATCCAATCTTGATGTGAATTGCGGAGGAATATTTTTTATTGACACATACACTGGGCAAAGTTTATGCATTGTTGCTTTAGATCCGATTGCATTACACATATCCACGTCATCAGTTGCTAATTCTATTTGTAAGCTATTGGGGTATTTTGAAAACAGTTCACTGGATTTGAATCGGCTTCCACAAGAATACTCAGAATATACACCATCAATCGAATTTTTGCCATTCATTGCATTGAATTCAAAGTACTCTTTGCGAAAATCATCGCGTTGAAATAACGAAAAAATGGTAGATGTAATCGGAACGTAATGAAATTTACAAGGAATAAGTCTTGGCACACCGACTGTACCCTTTCTCGAAATGTCATATCGAAGTCCGATCGTTAATTCACTTGGAGCTACATATAATTCATTTGAAGAGAAATATTTTTCTCGTTTGTACTTAGTGGAACACTCTTTCAGTTTGCTAGTCACAAATGTTGTTGATATCTTCAGCGCATTTGAAATATTCAGACCATTTGGTTTATCAATAAGGTGTTGGTTTAACTTTTGAGTATTCTGCACAAGATCTATGCACAATTTAAATACAGCCGTAGCTTGTTCATGATTTAGCTTCAAGTTGCACATCTCACTATTAAATGAGTTCAGAAGTTCGGTCATTGACTCTTCACAAAATTGATCTGGACTTTCTGTCTTTGCACTTTCAAATTGAAAACTATTGCTGCTCATTTTTCCAGTTGGTGGTGATTGCCGTACAGTGATGTTTTCTAATGAAAAATTGTTGTTCTCTAGCATCCGGATTGATGAAACATCTTTGAAGACATTTAGCTCACTTTCTGTCTCTTTGTGTATGTCGCAAACATTAATTTTAACTGCTTCCTGTATACACTTTTTCATATGCGATTTCAATGAAGAGAATGTGTAAAATTCATCAGAGCACGATTTTCCCTTAACCATACATTTTATTTTAATTGTATTTTCTTTTACAAAGTGATCAAGTTTTAAATGTGAAATTATTATTTTTTCTTCTTTAAATTCCTTTTTGCACAAGAAACACTTGAAAATAAAATCCATTTTGATAAAATAATAAGTAAATTGCTTCACAAAAATGTTCATTCGATCGTTTGTTATTGATATTTTAAATTGACGTTTCAAGTGACGGTTCGAAATTCCTTACGTTTTTGGAAGGATTCCTACTAAAGTACATATGTTTTGGAAGGAAACCTACCAACATCATATATTAGACGTATTTCTTTATACAATTCGAAGGTTTTTTTCGTCTGTGGACGCATACGAAAGTTACTTTATTCAGAGGAGCAACAACGCATTGAA